GCTGGAGTGCAGTGGTGTGATCATGGTACATTGCAGCCCTGAACTCCTGAACTTCTGAGCTCAAGGACTCCTTCCACCGCAGCCTCCCAAGTATTAATAATTTGCACTACAGGTGTACTACCTTGCCTGGCTAATTCTTTTAACATTTTTGGTAGAGACTAGTGTCTCTCTATGTTGCCAGGGCTAGGGAAGAAGATTTTTTTTTTTTGAGACGGAGTTTTGCTCTTGTTACTCAGGCTGGAGTGCAATGGCCCGATCTTGGCTCACCGCAACCTCCACCTCCTGGGTTCAAGCAATTCTCCTGCCTCAGCCTCTTGAGCAGCTGGGATTACAGGCACGCGCCACCATGCCCAGCTAATTTTTTGTATTTTTAGTAGAGACGGGGTTTCACCATGTTGACCAGGATGGTCTCGATCTTTTGACCTCGTGATCCACCCGCCTCGGCCTCCCAAAGCGCTGGTATTACAGGCTTGAGCCACCACGCCTGGCCTGGGAAGAAGATTTTTAACTACAACTTACCCCCTGGCTCAGCCACGAAAGAGATGGAGACCGAGTTGCCAAGCGCTCATACTTAAAGGTCAATTGGCCAAATCAAACCTAGAGTAGAAGAGCGAGACCTGGTTGTCCTGAGACTTTCTTCAAATTTGCAGCCTGTCCCCATGACTCAGTTTTCCCATCTGTAAAATGGAGATAACATCAGACCTGTGTCTGTATAGTTTGCCAATGGGGGGAGGGGGTAACACAACACATCTGGGGATGACATTTACCATCCCATACAGACCGCTGAGTTCTATACTCAAAAACTAAAGCCAGCCTGCATCTTGTTGATGAATGATAGCACACGCGAGGGACAAAACTGCTCTGCTGACAGCTGGAGTAACAAAAGTAAGGAGGAGTGGTCTCAGAACAGGCTCTGCTGGCTGGGGCTCTGTTTCCCCACACAGGTCTCTCCAGCTGGAGCCCCGACGCTAGGGAGGAAGGGGTGCGGGGCTGCTGCGGTGGGTTTGCTTTCTCAGGCAGTGGCAGGACCTGTTCCAGGCTACTGCAGGGTTACTCGCGGTCAAGGGTGTCGCCTTGAAGAGCCGGCTTCTCCGGGCTGGAGTGAGGCTGCATGAGGGGGCGCAGCCTCTCAGCCTCTGGCACCCGCTGAGCCTCCGAAGTGGCTGTTGGCGCAGCCGCCCCTCTAGTGTTCCAGGCTTAGTCCCAGCTCCCAGCGCCAGATGCAAACTCTGGGCCAAGTTCTGCCTCGCTGGCTGCTTTCGGCCCCAGGACCCGGATCAATACAGGGAAGGAGAGCTGGGGGAAAATGATGGAGAAAAGAGAGAAAGGAGGTGCTTGATTTCACTCACCAAGGAGTTACCGCTGGACGCGGGTCTTAGCGCCCAAATCTCGGCTTACTGATCCCTTTAAGAAGGCCGCCTGGTGTTCCTCTAGCCCTCCACCCCACCGGAGGAGAGCGCCTGCCACAAACCCTGTGCTTCGCTAAGTGCTTTGCTATGCGAACTCAGTTTTCCCAACATCCCTAAGCCGGAGATACGTTGTCACCCACTTCTTGCGGAGGAGAGAACTGCCTCGGAGAAGCTGGCTGGCTCGCCTGGAGATTTGCAGCTAGTGGCAGAGCGAGAATCCCAGACAGGGACTGTGCGATACTCCAGAGCGGCCACAGCCCACAGCCCCTTGGCTCTGCCGGGTTATTGTGCGGCCGCTCGGTCTGCACCTGGGGCAGCCCTCGCTGGGCGGGAGGGGACAGAGAAGAGAAGGACCAAGGGATTACCAGGTGGCTCCCCTGACGGACTCCCGGCCTGGAGCATGGGCAGACCACTCCCAGAGAGAGTGTGGCTTTGCTCCTTCTCCACGGATCGCTTCCCCAGCGGGCTCAGTGTTTCGGGGAAATGTCCGCCCCGCCACTTGGAGTGGCAGGGGCGAGAGGAGGATTTGGGGGGCCCGGGGAGAAAGCTAGGGTTGCCGGAGTCGCAGCTGCCTGCGGAGCTGGCCCGGGAGGAAGCGAGGCGGAGCGCGCAGCGTCCAAGCGGCGAGTGCACAGCGCTTTCAAACTTTCTGCAGTTTCGATTCTGGCGTCAGAGAAGATGTGACCAATCAGAGTCCAGAGACGGGAATAAATTATGCAAATAACCATCTGGCGAAGAGTCAGGAGGCTCCCATACTTTAAAAAGTACCTCGATAGGAGTGTGACAGCAGCGAGCCCTTCTCCCTAAGTGGCTTCAGGGCGAGGGCAGATCTGGTTTTGGTGGAAGCCGTTCACACTTGCTCCCTGCCACCGCCCGCGGCTTCGTGCTGCCAAGTTTTCATCTTCCTTCTACGCCTCCAGCTCCCCGGTCAGGGGCCAAGAGAAGGCTGCCCTCTTCTGATCTTACCGGCCGGGACTGCTGGAAACACAGAGGTGGTTTTTGTTTTGTAAAATTTTTGTTTCAGGGGAGGGGGTGTGGCGGTGCAGGATGAGAATCTCTCTTCTCCTGCTCTGTTTCTGCAGTCTCTACTGTTGCTTTGCTGCAGGAAGCCCCTCACCTTTTGATCCGAAGGGACGCTGGAAGGTAAGGTGCATGTATTTCTTTTTTTTTTTTTTCTTTTTCTTTTTTCTTTTTTTATTGCATTTTAGGTTTTGGGGTACGTGTGAAGAACATGCAAGATTGTTGCATAGGTACACACATGGCAGTGTGGTTTGCTGTCTTCCGTCCCCTCACCTGTATCTGTCATTTCTCCCCATGCCATCTCTTCCCACCTCCCCACCCCCCCGTCCCTCCCCCATTTCCCCCCAACGGACCCCAGTGTGTAGTGTTCCCCTCCCTGTGTCCATGTGTTCTCATTGTTCAACACCCGCCTATGAGTGAGAATATACCGTGTTTGATTTTCTGCTCTTGTGTCAGTTTGCTGAGAATGATGGTTTCCAGGTTCATCCATGTCCCTACAAATGACATGAACTCATCGTTTTTGATGGCTGCGTAATATTCCATGGTGTATATGTACCACATTTTCCCTATCCAGTCTATCATCGTTGGGCATTTGGGTTGGTTCCAGGTCTTTGCTATTGTAAACAGTGCTGCCATGAACATTCGTGTGCACGTGTCCTTATAGTAGAATGATTTATAATCCTTTGGATATATACCCAGTAATGGGATTGCTGGGCCAAATGGGATTTCTATTTTTAGGTTCTTGAGGAATTGCCACACTGTCTTCCACAATGGTTGAATTAATTTACATTCCCACCAACAGTGTAAAAGTGTTCCTATTTCTCCACATCCTCTCCAGCATCTGTTGTTTCCCGATTTTTTAATGATCGCCATTCTAACTGGTGTGAGATGGTATCTCAATGTGGTTTTGATTTGCATTTCTCTGATGACCAGTGATGATGAGCATTTTTTCATATGTTTGTTGGCCTCCTGTATGTCTTCTTTTGTAAAGTATCTGTTCATATCCTTCGCCCATTTTTGAATAGGCTTGTTTGTTTTTTTCTTGTAGATCTGCTTTAGTTCTTTGTAAATTCTGGATATCAGCCCCTTGTCAGATGGGTAGACTGCAAAAATTTTTTCCCATTCTGTTGGTTACCGATTCACTCTACTGACTGTTTCTTTTGCCGTGCAGAAGCTGTGGAGTTTGATTAGGTCCCATTTGTCTATTTTGGCTTTTGTTGCCCTTGCTTTTGGCGTTTTGGTCATGAAGTCCTTGCCTACACCTATATCCTGAATGGTTTTGCCTAGATTTTCTTCTAGGGTTTTTATGGTGTTAGGTCTGATGTTTAAGTCTTTAATCCATCTGGAGTTAATTTTGGTGTAAGGTGTCAGGAAGCGGTCCTGTTTCTGCTTTCTGCACATGGCTAGCCAGTTTTCCCAACACCATTTATTAAACAGGGAGTTCTTTCCCCATTGCTTGTTTTTGTCAGGTTTGTCGAAGATCAGATGGTTGTGGGTATGTTGTATTTCCTGTGAGGCCTCTGTTCTGTTCCATTGGTCTATATCTCTGTTTTGGTACCAGTACCATGCTGTTTTGATTACTGTAGCCTTGTAGTATTGACGGAACGTATCTCAAAACATTAAAAGCTATTTACGACAAACCAACAGCCAATATCATACTGAATGGGCAAAAACTGGAAGCATTCCCTTTGAAATCTGGCACTAGACAAGGATGCCCTCTCTCACCACTCCTATTCAATATAGTACTGGAAGTTCTAGCCAGAGCAATCAGGCAAGAAAAAGAAATAAAGGGTATCCAAATTGGAAAGGAGGAAATCAAATTGTCTCTATTTGCAGATGACATGATTGTATATCTGGAAGACCCCATCATCTCAGCCCAAAGTCTCCTGAAACTGATAAACAACTTCAGCAAAGTCTCAGGATACAAAATCAACGTGCAAAAATCACAAGCATTCCTATACACCAGTAATAGACTTCAAGAGAGCTAAATCAAGAAAGAGCTGCCATTCACAATTGCCACAAAGAGAATAAAATACCTAGGAATACAACTAACAAGGAACGTAAAGGACCTCTTCAAGGAGAACTACAAGCCATTGCTTAACGAAATAAGAGAGGATACAAACAGATGGAGAAACATTCCATGTTCATGGTTAGGAAGAATCAACATCGTGAAAATGGCCATACTGCCCAAAGTAACTTACAGATTCAACGCTATTCCCATCAAGCTACCAATGACCTTCTTCACAGAACTGGAAAAAAACACCTTAAACTTCATATGGAACCAAAAGAGAGCCCGCATAGCCAAGTCAATTCTAAGCAGAAAGAACAAAGCAGGAGGCATCACACTACCGGACTTCAAACTAAAGGTGCATGTTTCTGTTCCCCCACTCCCCACCACTTCTTTCCTGTGCTGTGTCCCCTCTGTCTCCCCGATTCTTAGATTCCCTCCTTGTTCCTCTGAATTTCTTCCTTTCCCACTGCGCTGCCCATTTTCTCCTCCAACCCGTCTTGGAGTCCACTTGTCTCTCTGCGCTTCTGATGGGCCATCCCCGGCAAGTCATGCCAGAGGCAATGGCTGACCGGGTGCGCTGGCTCTTGCCAGCCTTCTCCTTCCCTTATGTGGCTCCCTCAGCCCCTGCTGGTGCTGTCCAGCCAGCCCAGTGGCCTGCCAGCAGCTCTGAAAACTTGTCCTCATTCATGCCTGAACCTGGAGGTTTGACAGTCAAGAAGGTTCTTAGAAAGAGCTCTGTCTCCTGGAGCTGCCTTTTCATCTTGGTGTAGGGTGTAGATGTCTTGAAAGTTCAGGTGGAAAGGTAGCTGCTTTGGTTTGATTAGTGCTTGCAGGGAGTGAGTGTGGGTCACTTGTGCATAGAAGCTGCGGCCTGATTCCCCAGGTTGCCGGCCTTTTCCTCTTCAACACTCTTGTGCTCCCCTCACTCTTCCTCTTCCCACTCCTCCTCCCTTTCCTCCTCTTGGCTTCTAGCATTTCTTCCTGTTGGGTTCTGTGTGGCAGCCTTTTCCGGTGGAGGCAGCCTGCCCCAGGGGAGCCAGAGGCAGTCACCAAGAGTGAGAACTAAGTCAGCTGGTTAGCAGGGGAGGGCTCAGGAGAACCTAAACTGAACCTCATCATCTCATCTTCTACTAGAATCAGCTGAGGTTGTGCCAAATGGTCTGTGTCCACTTCTGCATGTGAGGAGGGTGACTGTGAATGAAAGGAAAACCTTGCTTTACTCAACATGTTTCCAACTCTGGTGCTAACTAGAAGCATTTCCTGGGGCAGGTCTCATCTCTGGCTCCTCAATCTGTAAAATGCTAAAGTTCCTTCTAACTTCCGTGTTCCGTGCCTCTGAGTACGTGTGAGTCATTTCATTCATTCCAAAAAGTACTTACTGCAAGCCTACTTAGTGCCAGGCACTATTCTGGGAGCAGGGGAGACAGCAGTGAACAAAATGGATGGCAATCTCTGCCTTCCAGACGTTTACCTTTCAGTGGTGGGAAGGCAGACAAAGCACTGATTAAAATATCAAAGGTGCTCAGTGTTATGGAGAAAAATCAAGCAGAGGGGGAAGGTGCAGCATCCTGGTGGGGGAAGGTGGTGATGTTAGGATGTGGTCAGGGAAGGCCTTATGGAGAAGTTGACCATTGAGTAAAGAGCTGAAGTAGGTAAGAGAAGAAGGCATGAGGACATCTGGGTGAAGAACAATCAGAAAGTCCCAGAGGCTGAAGTGGCCCAGTCCAAAAGTAGTAGGAATGCAGCTAGAGAACCTTGAGGCCAGAGCGGATCAGACGCCAAGGGGAAGAGTCTTTGTCCCATATATGGGTTTATCCACAGATCTGTCTCAGGAAGCCAGCAGCCTCCTTTTCTCCTAGACTTCCCCATCTGGTCTCCACGTGAGTGGCTATCTGCATAGAAGGTGGGGAGTTGCCAAACTCATTATATCCGTGATTCACATTTCTGCTGGTGGGGGCTTTTGTTCATTACTTTCAAGACAGTTAACCTGAGTTCTGCTCATGTGTATTCAGCAGCATTTTTCTGGAACCTTATTCCTCTTCCATCTGCTGCACTCTTCTACCCTCCCCCTCCTTTCCCTCCACCCTCTCCACCGCTATATCTCTTTCCTTTTGGTTATCTTTTTCCTTTGGCTTCTTAACTCTGAGATAAATTAACTCCAAGATGGTCATTTGGCATCCTTCCCCGCTGGTCGGTAGAAGAGTTTGATACTCTCACTTCCTAGCCAGTTGTCCAGTGATGCATTCAGGATGGCTGGAAGAGTGCTGGGTGGGTCCACGTATGACTTTCTGAAACAGTGTCATGACGACAGCACCTACCCAGTGTTCAGCCACAGGAGCCATCAGTAACCTGAGCTGCACTTTGGGAGCAGGGCCATCTCCTAGGTGGCACTGTGCATGAGCAGGGAAGCTGGAAGAAGGGATTCTGTTGCTCATAGGAGTTTCTCCATGGCTTTAGTCATTCACTTAACAGACTGGATGAGTGCCTGGCACATGCCACCACTAGAAAGGGCGCTGAGGATGTCTGAGGTTCCCTAGATGGGAACACTAGGGGAAGCCTATTTTCCAACAGGTCCACAGCCTCTTTCCTCCAATTCCGAAATCCAGTCTCTCAAAATTGGAAAATGTGTTTGGTAACTTGTTTGGCAGCAAGACCTGGCCTTACCTGATCTGAACTCAGCAAAAACCTGGCCTGAGATGACAGGAGGCTATTGATTATCTTTGTGTTTGCCTCAAATGTGAGTGATTATGTATTTCTCTGCAGAAATATTAGGGTGTTTGATTTGGAGGGATAGCTCAGGCCCACTGGCAGCATTATATAATGTATAGTGTATGCTCCATAATGCCTTTCTAAAATCTGAAAACTTCTGAAATCTGAAACTCACCTGGTCTCAAGCATGCATTTCGGAAAAAGAGTTGAGGACCCATACTCCCAAAATAGGAAGGTGCTGGGTGTGGTGGCTCACACCTGTAATCTTAGCATTTTGGGAGGCTGAGGCAGGCGGATCACCTGAGGTCAGGAGTTCAAGACCAGCCTGGCCAACATGATGAAACCCCATTTCTGCTAAAAATGCAAAAATTAGCCGGGCATGGTGGCACATGCCTGTAATCCCAGCTACTCAGGAGGCTGAGGCAGGAGAATCACTTGAACCCAGGAGGTAGAGATTGCAGTGAGCCAAGATCACACAATTGCACTCTCCAGCCTGGGTAATGGAGCAAGACTGTCTCAAAAAAAAAAAAAAAAAAGAATGCGGCTGCTATCTTCCGATTTGGGGAAGTAGCTTATGGATTAGCCCCAGGTAGTCACTACAGTTCCTGAGAGCACAATAGAATTTTACTCCTACCTACTCTCAGTTTGAGTCAGAATCAGAAACCACTGCTGATACCCCATTAGATTTTTGTGGTCCTACTGAGGTTATGTAAGCTTCAACGACCTCAAAGAGTGGGGGTCCTTTGTTAAGATAACTCTAAGATCTTTATAGAAAGCATCAATTCAGCAGATTACTGGGCAGTCTTCTATAGCAAAGACAAGGCACTTTATGTTTTAAAGTGCCCAGGTTGTGAGAGTCATGTTTGTGGTGATCTGGGCAGACCCAACAAAATTAACATACTCTTGAGGCTTGAGCTAACAGCAACTGGTGCAAACAGCAGCGCAAATATTCGTTTAGATTGCTTGATGTGAATACAATGTGCCAAGCCACAAATGAGGCAGAATAAAGAACTTGGTAAATCACCGTAACTATGTGTCCAAATGAGGCAGGGTCTGAACTTTGAGGCAAAGTGAAATGTTTCACTGCCCAACAGTTGAAGGCACAAAATCTTAGGAAAGGCTTGGCTTTCCTCCTGTTTTATTACAGGGAGAGACACAACATTTCACTCCGTATAGTAAAGCAACCACAATCCCTGCAATTTATAAAGAGTGCAGGTGACAGGATAAGGCCAAAGGAAAGCATCTGAAATGGTAAGCAATGATTTCTCTTAAATGCAGCATTTTAGAAAGAAAGATCATCCAAACTAATCATGGGAGGTGCTGGCCTTGCGATTCTAAGAGGCACTGTCCCAATTTTAAGAAGCTCACAGTCTTGGGAAAGGAAAAGAGTAAACATAAACAGAATGCAAGAACAAATGAATCACTTAAAAGCTGCAGAACCTAGTACCTTCCTACCACTAGTAGCTTTCTATTACTGAAAATAGAAAATGACCACACACTATCCTCTAGAGTCCTATGATAAACTACTGGAAATACTAGGCAATAGTTCCAATGTGAGACAATACAGTGAGTCAGCTACAGGCTTGTGACAACTTCAATTGAGAAGTCATAAGCAAGAGGGTTGATGGTCCAGTCTCTAAGAGAAGCAGCATAAAAATCCTTGCATCATAAAATGAGATGTTCATGGAGAGTTCTGACAACTTGACATATTCCTGGATGGGATTTAGGGGGCAACAGTGCATGTGTGGGCTGTGCACATGCTCAGAAAAGATCTGCTAAAGCTCCAGGCTCTCACCTCTGGCTGACCTTGAGGCTCTGGGCAAGTATGAAGTGGGGGTTAAAGCAGAACTGCCAACTGCCTGGCTGAGTGTTGAAGGTATGCCCCAACATGCACACAGAGCCCCCCCACCCCGCCAGCAAAGATCTGCCTTACTGGTTCTAGGCACTGAAGGAAACTATTTTTAATCGTCAGCTGACCACTAACTAACCAAGCAGAGGCTTTAATGGATGGATATGACCAAGAATACAGACTTTACAAAAAAATCGCTAAACCACAAACAGTGACAAGAACAAACCCTCAAGAGAGGATGGAATCTGATTTCCAGGGCTGCCACACTTTATTATTAAAGTGTCTAGTTATAAAAAAATTACAAGACATGCAATGAACCAAGAAAGCAGATCTACACATGGGGGAAAAAAGCAGACAACAGAAATTATCCCTAAGGAAGCTACAAGTTGGGCTTCTAGACAAAGACTTATATCAGCTATTTTCAGTCTGTGCAAAAAAACTAGAGGAAACCATGTATACTGAATTTAAGTATGAGGACATCTCACCAAATAAAGAATATCAATAAAGAGAGAGAAGGCCGGGCGCGGTGGCTCAAGCCTGTAATCCCAGCACTTTGGGAGGCCGAGGCGGGTGGATCACAAGGTCAAGAGATCGAGACCATCCTGGTCAACATAGTGAAACCCCGTCTCTACTAAAAATACAAAAAAATAGCTGGGCATGGTTGTGCGTGCCTGTAATCCCAGCTACTCAGGAGGCTGAGACAGAAGAATTGCCTGAACCCAGGAGGCGGAGGTTGCGGTGATCCAAGATCGCGCCATTGCACTCCAGCCTGGGTAACAAGAGCAAAACTCCAGCTCAAAAAAAAAAAAAAAAAAAAAAAAAAAAAAAAAAAGAGAGAGAGAGAAATTAATTTTTAAATAACATAGCAAAAATGAAATTCTGGAGTTGAAATGTACAATAACAAATGAAAAATTCACTAGAGGGACTCAACAGCAAATCTGAGCAAGGAGAAAAAAAGAATAAGCAAACTTGAAGATATTTTATTTTTAATTTTAACGTCAATTGCCATTATCCAGTCTGAGGATCAGTAAGAAAAAAGAATGAAGAAAAATAGACAAAGCCTCAAACCATAACCAATATATGCCTAGAAGGCAAGGAGAGAGAAATGGGAAGAAAAAATACTTAAAGAAAACCTGTAATAGACCTATAACAAGTATAGAGAGGGAATTTGGGAATCAAAAACTATGCCACGGGCAGTCAGATCTGTTTTCAGAAGGCCAGATTCACCCAGAGTTGGAAGAAGTCAAGACTGTCAGTGAAAAGGGGGCGAGTTCACCCCTGATCACAGTCTTTACTGATGACAAAGGTGTCAACAGTGCTGGCCTCCTGCACAGTGACCTTACAGAGGGAGAGCTATGTTCTGACTATGGTGGAAGGAATTATAGGCCTTGGCAAGCATAAGCTCTGACACAGAAGCTAAAGATGACCAGCCTTTCCCTAGGCTCCTCTTATCCCTTAGCAGTGGTGTGTTATTTTTCCAACCTCTTGACTCAAGACAATGGCATTCTGACAGTCTCAAACCTGAGCCCTGCCAGTATGACTTCAAACCCATGATGAAAGAATTTCAGTTTGAGCCATTCTTACAAATGATCGAGGTGCAGGAAGGCCAGAGGCTGAAGATCACCATCACAGGGTATGGAACCACCTACAGGTGCTATGGCATGGAGTCTTCTTTAAATGGAAAACCCGAACAGGGTATTGCAGCGGAAGTGGCGGGCCACAATGACTGCCGCACTCACAGAGAAGACACCACGGCAGCTGAAGAGGGCAAGTTCAAATTACAGGGACTGCTGCTGGGATGTGTGCACCAATTTCTATCAGGTGGTTGAGGCTGAGAATAATGACACTGATGATGTAAACATTATCGTTTTCTGGTAGATTAATCAACTTGACTTAAGTAGAAATGTGATCACTTTCTCTGAGTACCTTCCTACATTATGTGTAAAACTTTACAGAAGCAAAAACCTCACTCAACAATCCAATTCAGATGGTCTCCCTTGGTCAGTCCTCTTCTTCCACTTCCCCCAAATGCACAGACACAGTGAGAGAATCATTTTGTTTCCAGACTCTACACTCCCCGGATCCTAGTATGACCATGGCTTGCCTCAAGTTTCTTTAACGGCAGTGGACTACCATAAACATATCACCTATGAAAAAGCTACCCGAGCCAGACATTACACAAGGATCCCACATTGCCCTGTCACTAACACTGCTTGTTCTGTTGGCCAATTACAAGTATGACAAGCTCATTCCCTTGCTGTGGCAGCTGACAAGTCAAGTGCAGAAAGTCCATGCACTTGGCCAGGCAGCCTCTCACAATAATGGCCCAGAAGATGCAAACAGACAAGACAAGAACAGAAGATTAGGCGGGCACAAGGAGGAAGAGGGGGCAGCTGCAGTTTCACTTGGGACAGGCCAGGAGGCCACCACCTGTCCCTAGGATTGAAACAGAAGCATGCGTCAGCTCCCTTCAGCCAGTGCTGTTAGCCCTGTGCCCCATGCCAGCATCAACAGCCTCCCCCTTCACAAGGCTTGCTGTGCAATGAAACGAATGGACCTGTCACCCTGCTGAACACAATTAATAATATAACTTACTATTTTTGTCAAAGTATTATTTGTGCTGTGCTGGTGGTGTGGAAATGTAATTCTACATCTTCAGCATTCATTTGTAAGGGTTCTAGTAAACATGGTGTTTGGTTTCACTATGAAGTGCCTTTTAGATTTCACCATTTCCTTCACTTCCCTTTGCATTTGAGATCCCTGCTGGAAAGCACAGCAACCTGTATCTCTACTAGCAGGATACATTAGAAGGTAACAATCAGTAAAATTGCCCATTTGTGTTGTTAGAGGCGTGTGAACCAAAGGGATTCCATCTTGAATAGGAGCTGGGTAAAATGAGGCTGAAACCCACTGGGCTGCATTCCCAGACAGTTAGGCATTCTAAGTCACAGAATGAAATAGGAGGTCGGCAAAGGATACAGGTCATAAAGACCTTGCTGATAAAACATTTTGCAGTAAGAAAACTGGCTAAAACTCACCAAAAACGGGATGATGACTTCTGGTCATCCTCACTGCTACACTCCCGCTGGCGCCATGACAGTTTACAAATACCATGGTAACATCAGGAAATCACCCTATATGGTCTCAAAAGGGGAGGCATGAACAATTCACCCCTGTTTAGCATATCATCAAGAAATAACCATAAAAATGGGCAAACAGCAGCCCTCAGGCTGCTCTGTCTATGGAGTAGCCATTCTTTTTTTATTTTTATTTTTATTTTTTTTAAAGACAGGGTTTCACCATGTTGATCAGGCTGGTCTTGAACTCCCGACCTCAGGTGATCCACCCGCCTTGGCCTGCAAAGTGCTTGGATTACAGGCGTGAGCCACTACGCCCAGCCTGGAGTAGCCATTCTTTTATTCCTCACTTTCTTAATAAACTTGCTCCTACTTTATGGACTCACTCTGAATTCCTTCTTCTGTGAGATCCAAGAACCCTCTCTTGGGGTCTGGATTGGGACCCCTTTCCTGTAACAGTATTGCATCTCAAAACAAAACAAAAAAGATCCCACACACAAAAAACTCCAAACCATGTGGCTTCACTGGTGACTTGTACCAAATGTTTAAAGAACTGGCTAATCCTTTAAAAAAACTCTTCCAAAATATAAAAGGAATACTCCAAGTCATGAGGCCAGTATTACACTGATACCAAAACCAAACACAAAGGTATCAGAAGAAAATAAAACTACAGACCAAATTTAAATTAAGATCTTTTGGTCGCTAAATTTGGAACTCATCGATGAGTATTTTTAAAGACACTCCCAAATGGCTATGGAGACTTAGATGCTCAAGTGATGCCTTAAAAGAAAAAACAAACAAACAAACAAACAAAACACCCGATATATAGTTCACCCAGCTGGACCTGGCAATGTTAAGCAGCTTTTCCTTTAACTCCCCCCGACTTCCTCTGCCTTCGATGAAGTCTGAAAAGTTATTCCATAGCAAAAGGAAATGCTTCAAACTCTAGTCACATCCTTGAAAAGTTTGACTCTGATGACCCAAACAAAAGGCGCCCACAGGCTTTTAGCATGAGTGACAGCTATACAAGTTACATCCTCAAGCTGCTTCCCTTTTTAGATATGGAAGCCAACCCACTTATTCTCCCAAACCCCACTCCTCTGACAGTCAGATACAAGGCTCCTTTGGACTTTCCTATCAGCAAAAACAAACATTACTACCAACAGCATACACAGAATCATAGTAACCTGACACTTAATTAGAGATTCTGCATCAGTAGAATTAGACTTGAAGCTTAGGAATCTGTATTTTCAAAATGATTTTTTCACTGTTCTGATGATCGGCCAAATTTGGCAAACACCAATCCAATAAAATGAATCAAAGACAGAGACTTCCATTTCTAGTTTCCCTAGAGCCAACTACTTCTTATCTGAGTAAGTAGAATCAGCTGATTTCAATTTCCTGGCTATGAAATAGCAATTGTGATTCAACCCTCTCCATAGCATCAAGTGACATTCTGCATAGTAATGTCTCTTAAATGACACTTGGTACTATCAGATACTACATTTGCAGGATTTGGACAGGATAGTGTCAACGACTGCCATGGCAATGTAATCAAAGATCTGTCAACATTAGAAAATTACCCAGTCCTCTACCCGTCACCCAAATTTACAGAGCCTACACGAGTGTCAGTGCGCAAAAAGCTCCAATACACTAAACCCTTGGTCTGTTTTTATGCCTCTGGCTTCTCAGAATTGAAAATGTCTTTCAGCCCCTCCATTGGCTGCCTTACTTCAGTCATCTTCTGAAGGCTATGGTTCTATCCAGTTGTTGTTACTTAGTAAGCACTTAAAGGGAGATCAATCACAATTAGAAAAACAGATATAATTATGCTTTAATCAACAAATATTTGAGGGCCTACTACATACAAGGCAAATTCCTAGACAGCAATCAGCATAAAAACAGGCAGAAACCCAGTCAACTTCCTCTGCAAACTAGGTAGCAGGTAAGATAAACATTTTAAACATGAGTTTGTGTTACAATTACTTTAAACAACTTTATCTTCATAATCACATTATTCCTAATAGCCGCAGTGGAAAAAAACAGTATGTCTATCAAGTCACGAATAGAAAAAGTGTAAATAATTCATATGTCATAACTCATGAATGGTTAAATAAAATGTGGTAAAGTGGAAATAATCCATGTGTCATCAACTCATGAGTATAAAATGTGGTATAACCATACAATGGAATATTATTCAGCAATAAAAAGAAATGAAGTGCTGATGCTACAAATTGGATAAACTAAGCTAAAAGAAGCCAGTCACAAAGGACCATACATTGCATAATTCCATTTATATGAAATGTTCAGAATAGACGAACCCACAGACAAAGCAGGAGTCTGATGGTTGCCCAGGGCTGGGGGAGATCGAGGGAAAATGAGTGACTAATAATGGGTAGAGTTCCTCCTGGGGTGATGAGAATGTTCAAACGTTGACTATGGTGATGACTGCACAATTCTACCAACATACTCAAGACCAGTCATACTGAATTGTATGATATGAGAATTATGTGTCAATTAAGCTGTCATAAAAAAACTTCATGACATTATCTATTAAAGCTTCACATATGGTCAGGTGTGGTGGCTCATGCCTGTAATCCCAGCACTTTGGGAGGCCGAGGTGGGCGGATCATGAGATCAAGAGATTGAGACCATCCTGGTCAACATGGTGAAACCCCATCTCTACTAAAAAAAAAAAAAATACAAAAATTAGCTGGGTGTGGTGGTGCACACCTGTAGTCCCAGCTACTCGGGAGACTGAGGCAGAAGAATTGCTTGAAGCCAGGAGGCAGAGGTTGCAGTAAACCGAGATCGCGCCATTGCACTCTAGCCTGGGCAACAAGAGTGAAACTGTCTCAAAAAAAAAAAAAAGCTTCACATATAGGTATTCTCTGTGGCCATGACTCCTCTCCAAAATGTACACCTAACAGAAATGCATATATATATATATATATATTTCTAACCAAAAGGCCATGTGTGGTGGCTCACACCTGTAATTCCCAACACTTTGGGACTCTGAGTCATGCAGATCATTTGAGGTCAGGAGTTTGAGACCAACCTGGCCAACATGATGAAACCCCATCTCTACTAAATATCCAAAAAAAAAAAAAAAAAAAAAAAAAAAAATTTAGCCAGGCATGATGGCTCTTGCCTGTAATCCTAGATACTGAGGAGGTTGAGGCAGGAGAATGGCTTCAATGTGGGAGGTGGAGGTTGCAGTGAGCTGAGATCACACCACTGCACTCCAGCCTGGGTGACAGAGCAAGACTCTGTCTCAGAAAAAAGAAGCACTATTTACAACAGTCTGAAGAAAAAAAAAAAATACTTCACCAATAATACATGACCACATGATGAAGTAGTACACAACAATGAGAATGAACAAAGGCTGGCTCCATGCAACCACATGGATGCATACCACGAACATTATTGAGGGCAACAGAAGTCAGACACAAAGGAGCACATAAATATGATCCCGCTCAAATGAAGCTCGAAAGTGAACAGAAATCAACTATTTTATTTTTCTTTTTTGTGAGACAGAGTCTCACTCTGTAGCCCAAGCTGGAGTGCAGTGGCATCATCTTGGCTCACCATAACCTCCACCTCTGGAGCTCAAGCAATTCTCCTGCCTTAGCCTCCAAGTAGCTGGGACTACAGTCTCATGCCACCACACCCGGCTAATTTTTTGTATTTTAGTAGAGACAGGGTTTCACCATGTTACTCGAAGTGGTCTCAAACACCTGAGCTCAGGCAATCCACCCGCCTCAGCCTCCCAAAGTGCTGGAATTACGGTGTGAGCCACTATGTCCACCCCTGTGGTGTTATTAATAGAAATCAGGATAGTAGTTACCACCAAATGGAGGGTGGCTAAGGGTGAAAGGGGATATAAGGAAGGTCTCTGTGGTTATGGTAATGGGTTCTACAATCTGAATGCCAAATACACAGGTGTGCCTCCTTTTGAAAATTTGTGCAATTGCATACCCGTATTTCCTTTTTTTTTTTTTTTTTTCTTGAGACAGAGTCTTGCTCTGTCCCCCAGGCTGGAATGCAGTGGTGCAATCTCTGCTCACTGCAACCTCCACCTCTCAGGCTCAAATAATTCCTGTGCCTCAGCCTACCAAGTAGCTGGGATTACAGGCATGTATCACCACATCCAGCTGATTTTTGCATTTCTTTTTTAAAGTAGAGATGGGGTTTCACCATGTTAGCCAGGCTGGTCTTGAACTCTTGGCCTCAAGTGATCTGCCTGCCTTGGGCTCTCAAAGTGCTGGAAATACAGGCATGAACCACTGCACTGAGCCCTGGATCTTATATTTCAATAAAGAACTTACTGAAAGAGACACAAGAGACTTGCCAATAACAAATA